AAGACTGATTAAATAGAGAATGGAAGTATGTATAGTAAACAACAAGGAACTTAACACTAATTTCACATGAAACACAAAGAGGAATTTGTAGATATTACTACTGAAATAGATACAATGTATTAAATGTCCATGTCCACTTCACTCGCTTCTTCCAGATATGAGGTCAGACCAGTCACTACTATACCAAATTGGGCCTTTGTCCTGAGCAGCTTGTTCTGACTGCTTTATACTTTATGTTCCTGATTTCCTGGCTTGCCACTCCAAGACTCATTTCTCTACTGACTGCTCTGGCTACATTGCCATACATTGCCTTGGTCAGATCCTGCTTCCTTTATCCACCACTCCTGAACCAAGTAATATGTTGAAGAGCCAGGCCTTCTGGAAGTGGAGTCAAGTTGGTCCTGTTCCTATGTGTTTACAACGACCTCTTATCTTTATTCACTGTTTCACTTCTTGTATTGCTCCTCCTGGTATTGACTGAAGGAAAACTTTGCCTTCATGAATATGTATTATTTGGTGCCTGTTTCAGGGTCAGCCTCCTATAGCCAGGCGAGTCTCTACTGAAATTTATGGTCCTTAAATTTTTATGTTCACTATAATTATCTGCAGAATATGTTAAAAATAAGAGTGTTCAGACTAGCAGTTATGGAGAGCCATAGAGATTAGTGTTACCCAAGTGTCATCCTTAGACAGCATCACTTGGGAGCCTGGTAGAAATATAAATTCTTGGATTTCACCCAGGACTTACTGAATCAGGATCTCTGGGGGTGAAGCCAGGCAATCTATGTTTTATCAAGATAACCCCCAGCCTAACTTACTGATTCTGAGTGATACCAGTGCCGGCCTCTGGTACTTAATATGCAGTCTGATCTCAGACCTACTGAAATAGAACCTGTATTTTAAGAACATATGCGGGCTTTCAAAAGTACTGGTTGTATAAGCGTGTTTTTAATAAGTTGCTTCCATGTATTTAGGCATCAGAAAGTTGGAGAACATGTGCACTAACACATGTTCTACAATCAAATATGGGGCAGTACTGTTCAGTCTCAGATTGATGTTTCTTGAAACATTTTCTATTTACATTATATTTATCCTAGTGCCCCATGGTTTATAGCACCAATTCTGGGTAATATCCATGTTTCAGAGATGATCTGAGGCTTGAATACTTAATACCTTTAAAACCTGTTGAGATCTTCTGGTAAATCCTAGGGTCAAGGAAGCATCAATATATTTGAGGCTTTGCTGTCACCGGTACTGTAACAGGTTTTTTACCATGACATTCATATAACTCTCTGAAAAGGATAAATCCACTCTCAAATCAGGTTCTAAGACAAAAAAAATAAACCAAAAGAACAGAAATGAAACAACACTAAGCCAATGCCCTCCTGTCTCCCCCTAAAGTAGGTTAAGAACCAACAAAGTGTTCATGTATATTCTTCCATTATTCATTCAAACTAAATATTCAGACTGAATATTCATTCAAACTATCTTGCTGCTAACCAAGAAGCTCTGCTGTTTGCCATTTCTTATCAGCTATTACCATAAATTCCCAAGCATGAACTATAATTTCTAAATAATTGATGCCATGTTGTCTTTAGAAATATTAATACAAATATTTACCACTCAGTGGATGTAAAAAACAAACCTTCTTTGATCTCTTTTGAAGATATCTAAACCTTTTATTACATTTTCTTAAAAAGAAATGAGATCAAATATACTCCATTTCCACTGGGTGCTGTTTGGATGAGAAGACATATTCATTTCATTAGAGATGATATTAAAGTTATAACCCCTATCACACAATCTACCTTGTAATGTAATTATTTGTGCATGTATCTGTTTTCCTACTAAATTGTTAGCCTCTAGAGAACAAAGACTGGGACTTATTTATATTTGAAATCCCCACAGTGCCTAGTGGCGCCTTGCAAAGCCTTGATAAATATTTACAGAATAAAAAAATCAATGATCTCCTTACTCCTTCCTAATACTGGAAATTGGTTCATTCTGTGTTCTCTATAGCGTATTGCTAACCAAACTTCTGTCTAACCAGTAAGATAACTCAGAGCTCAAACCTTAAGAAGCTACTTGATTGCTATCACAGGGACCAATGAATCCTTGCAGATTTATCCATTTTCTCTGCTCTGTCAGAAGAGACTGTGGATTAGGTGAAACTGGTAAATAGCTTCACAAAGAAAATAACTAATGTTGATCTTACCACCAGTACAAACATAACCTTCTCAACTCTTAAAAGTAATGACCTAAAAACCTCATCATAATTTCCTATCCATCAAGCCTTCTATAAATATCCTTGCTCACAATATAGGGAATAAGACAGAAATACTGAAAAGAATTATTCCAACTAATCTATGAGAAAGGGTAAACTAAAAGAAAACAATCTTAGTTAAATAATAGGAGATTGAAGTTTTGTAGGTGAAAAATGATTGAATATTAACAATTTCCTACAGTTCAACCTAATAGCTTTTTGAAGTTCCCAAGCACATTGTATTTAAAATTTCCATAGTGCCCAGCAATGTCTTTCAAGTAAAAGGAGTTCTTTCAAGTAAAAGATTCAATTTCTGTAAGCTCCAGCTGTTCAGGAGATTCATGAGTTTTGTAAAACAAGGTTTTAAGGACACTGATAGTTAAAAGCTCTGTGGATTCTTTTTTAAAAATTGAATTCTGCTTTTATTTGTTTTCTAATAAAAAGGCTCAAGATAAGACCAAAGGGAAATTAGAATATTTTACTATATCTTCTAAGTTGTAGTTGTTAAACAATATGTATTAAATCACTTTTGGCATTTGTTAAAATGTAAATTTGCATGATGACTTAATCAGAATCTTGGGGTAAAGCTCTTGAAATCATAATTTTTACTAAGTATTAAAGATGAATTTTATCCTACCAAATCTGGTGAAAAACAATGAATTTTGGAGCAACCTTCCTGTAGATGAGATAACTGAAGACATTAAGTGATACATTCTGATATATCACTTAGAAACTAGAATTGGTTGTCTCATTCAGGCCTTTTTATTAATAGTTCCATTTTTTCTTCTACCACATGAACTAAACAGAAAAAGCTCTTAGACTTACTAATTTTTTAGATACCCTTTGCTTTGTTTTCCTTTTATTGAATTTGTTACACTCTAAATGAAAACGAGAAACAACTCATGGAAAGGCAGACTAATGAAGTTATTTTTCCTGTAAAAGCATGATTTTTTCACAGTATTATTCAAGTTGTTTACTGTTAGATTTACAGAATGTTAAAAATTAATTTACATAATCCATTTTGTAGTTTTAGTGTTTGCATCCAACAATTGTCAAATTTATTTTTTCCATATAGGTAAGAGAAAAACTTATAGGTAAGTTTAGAAAATTAAAACTACAACATTTAACCTAGAGAGTTTTAATAGTGAATTCCCATTTTTTGGTGAATGGTGAATGAATATTATCATGTTATTTGAACTTCAGAAAAATGAATGGAGATATATCAAAAACAGTTTACAAAGCTGCTGGTATTCTATGTAACCCAGAATAAAAGGAAGGAAAACATGGAACCAATTATACTTACAAGTATACATGCAAACTTTCTAATTGACATATTAGTAATTCTGTTTCAGCAAACTTGAAGGGAATAATGTATCAACTTTGAATGGGATTAATATTAGGAGTATAATCAAAGTTAAATATTGGAAATTTTTCTACATGCTTCTTTATTTTAAAATTTAATGGATGATGCTTTGGGGCACAATAGAGTAAGCACACCCCACCTATCTCTCCCACTGATTGCAACTATAAAACTTGGACAGAATGCATGGAAAATGATTGAGTACTCAGTAGGAAATATTAGCAAGCAGAGTAGGGTAGAAGACTAGAATTCAATATACCAACAAATAGACTACAGGTTTATTGTTTTTCTTCCATTAGTGTTCTCTGTCCTGAACGTACATCCTGAAACCTGATGTGGGCACATGTGTGGACAGAGAGGTGTCTAGGAAAAGTCCTCTAGTTCCAGCTTGAAAAAAGGAAATTAAACTTCTTCATCTCAGAAAGAGAATATAAAATTCTTGAGTTATCATTTCTCTATTTTCCTGCACACTAATCCCCAAGCAAGTTTGTAGGATGGAGAAAAAAAGCTTCAGTGGGAACCTGCAGGAGACTAAATTTGGGGGAGAGAAAACTTCTTCTGATCAGTGGAGGCGTGACCTCTAAGATGGTGGGATAAACACCCCCTTCCCCTGACATCCCCCAGACACATAGTTATTAGATTCTCCAAGGCCAAAATGAAGGAAGAAATGTTAAAGACAGGTAGAGAGAAGAGGCAGGTAACCTACAGAGGGAACTCCCTTCATGTTAACCATAGACGTTTCAGCAGAAACCCTGTAAGTTAAAGGAGATTGAGAACCTATGTTCAGCATTCTCAAAAAAAGAAATTTCATTCAAGAATTTTGTATCCAGCCAAACTAAGCTTCACAGGGGAAGAAGAAATAAGATCTTTTTTAGACAACCTAGTGCCAAAGGAATTTTCTACCACTATACCTGCCTTGCAATATGTCCTTAAGGGAGTGCTAAATATGGAACAGAAAGACTCTTACTGGTCACTACAAAAACACACTTAAGTGCATAGACCAGTGACACTATAAAGTAACCACACAAATAAGTCAGCATAGTAACCAAGTACCAATATGAGGACAGGATCAAATCTGGACATATTAATATCAAGCTTGAATATAAATGGGCTAAATGCCTTAATTAAAAGGCACATAGTGGAAGGCTGAATAAAGAAGCAAGACCTGATGGTATCCTGTCTTCAAGCAATCCATCTCACATGCAATGACACCCATAGGCTCAGAGTAAAAGGATGGAGAAAAATCTACCAGGCAAACAGAAAACAGAGAAATGCAAGTGTTGCTATTCTAACTTCAGACAAAACAGACTTTAAACCAACAAAGATTAAAAAAAAAAACAAATAAAAAAAAAACCCACAAACACACAAACAAAGAAGGGTATTACATAATGGTAAAGAGTTTGATTCAACAAGAAGACCTTACTATCCAAAATTTATATTCATGAACACAGGAGCACCTAAATTCATAAAGCAAGCTCTTAGATCCTGACAAATAAATTTAGATAACCACACAATGATAGTGGGAGACTTCAACACCTGACTGACAGTATTAAGTAGATTATCAAAGTAGAAAACTAACGTAGATATTTGGGACCAGAACTTGAAACCCAACCAGGTGAGCCTAATAGACATCTATAGAACTCTTTAATGAAAACCAGCAGAATATAGATTATTCTCATGTGCACATGGAACATAACTCTAAAATTGACACATGATCAGCCATAAAACAATCCTCAGCAAATTCAAAATTACTAAAATCATGCCAAACACATTCTCAGACCACAGGTCAATAAAAATAGAAATTTATACTAAGAAAACTACTCCAAACCTTAGAATTACATGTAAATTGAATAATCTACTTCTGAATGACTTTTAAGTAAACAATGAAATTAAGAGAGAAATCAAGAAATTCTTTGATATTAATGAGAAAAAAAATACAATGTACCAAAATCTGTGGGACATGGCTAAAGCAATGTTAATACGGAACATTATAGCACTATATGCCTACATCAAAAAAATTAGAAAGATCTCTAATTAATAACCTATCATCACACCTAGAGGAATGAGAGAAACAAGAGTAAACTAATCCCAAACCCAGCAGAAGAAAAGAAAGAACCAGAATCAGAGCTAAACTGAAGGAAATTGAGACATAAAAAAACATACAGAAGTTCAATGAATGCACGAGTTGGCTTTTGATAGAATAAATAAGATTAATAGACCACTAGCTAGACAAATAAAAGAAGAAAGAAGATCCAAATAAACACACTTGGAAATGACAAAGAGGCCATTAGTACTGACCCCACAAGAAGAAAAACACCCTCAAAAAGTACTATGAACACCTCTAGGCACCTAGGGATACACATTTGAAAAACCTAGAAGAAATGATAAATTTCTGGAAACATACAACCTCCCAAGATTAAACCAGGAAGAAATTGAATCCCTGAACAGACCAATAATGAGTTCAAAAATTAAATCAGCAGTTAAAAAGTCTCCTGACTGGCTACTTACAGGGAGACCTGGCAAGATGGCTGCTTAGGAACAGCTCTAGCCTGCAGCTCCCAGTCAGATCAATGCAGAAGATAGGTAATTTCTGCATTTCCAACTGATGAACCTGGTTTATCTCATTGGGACTGGTTAGACGGTGGGTGTAGCCCAGGGAGGGTGAGCTGAAGCAGGGTGGGGCATCGCCTCACCAGGAAAGTGCAAGGGGTTGGGGACCTTTCTCCCCCAGTCAACGGAAGCCACCAGGGACTGTGCTGTGAAGAATAGTGCACCCTGGCTCAGATACTACGCTTTTCTCACAGTCTTCACAACCCACAGACTAGGAGATTCCCCAGAGTGCCTACACCACCATGGCCCTGGGTTTCAAGCACGACACTGGGCTGCTGTTTGGGCAGACAGGGAACTAGCTGCAGGAGTTTTTTTTCTCATACCCCAGTGGCACCTGGAATGCCAGTGAGACAGAACCGTTCATTCTCAGAAAAGGGGCTGAAGCCAGGGAACCGAGTGGTCTAGCTCATGGGGTCCTACCCCCATGGAGCCCAGCAAGCTAAGATCCACTGGATTGAAATGATCGCTGCCAGCACAGCAGTCTGAAATTGACCTGGGATGCTCAAGCTTGGTTGGGGGAGGGGCACCCACCATTACTGAGGCTTGAGTAGGAGGTTTTCCCCTCATGGTATAAACAAAGCCACAGGGAATTTCCTACTGGGTGGAACACTCCGCAGCTCAGCAAAGCCACTGTAGCCAGACTGCCTCTCTAGGTTCCTCCTCTCTGGGCAGGGCATCTCTGGAAAAAAAAAATAGCACCAGTCAGCTTATAGATCAATCACCCATCTACCTGGAACGGAGCACCTGGGGGGAGGGGGCAACTATGGACTCAGCCTCGGCAGACTTAAACATCCTGCCTGCCGGCTCAGTGCAGCAGGTCTCCCAGCACAGCACTTGAGCTCTGCTAAGGGTCAGACTGACTCTGACATTCTATTGGTTCCTGATCCCTGTGTCTCCTGACTAGCAAACATCTCCCAGCAGGGGCCAGTAGACATCTCATGCAATCCTAGTCTCTGATAAAACAGACTGTAAATCAACAAACATAAAATTAGACAAAGAAGGGCATTACATAATGGTAAAAGGATCCATGCAACAAGAAAATGTAACTATCCTAAATATATATGCATCAATACAGGAGCACCCAGATTCATAAAGCAAGTTCCTAGAGACCTAACAAGAGACTTACATGCCCACACAATAATAGTGGGAGATTATAACACCCCACTGTCAATATTAGATGAATGAGACAGAAAATTAACAAGGATATTCAGGACTTGAACTCAGGTCTAGACCAAGTGGACCTAACAGACATCTATGGAACTTTCCAGCCCAAGTCAACAAATATATTCTTCCTAGCACCACATTGCACTGCTTCTAAAATCAACCACAAAATGGAAGTAAAACACTCCTCAGGAAATGCAAAAGAATGAAAATCATAACAAACAGTCTCTCAGACCACAGTCTGATCAAATTAAAAATCAGGATTAAGAAATTCAATCAAAACCGCACAACTACATGCAAACTGAACAATCTACTCCTGAATGACTGCTGGGTAAATAACGAAATGAAGACACAATGTACCAGAATCTCTGGGACACAGATAAAGCAGTGTTTACAGGGACATTTATATCACTAAATTCCCACAAGAGAAAGCAGGAAAGGTCTAAAACCGACACCCTAACATCACAATTAAAAGAACTAGAGAAGTAAGAGCAAACAAATTCAAAAGCTGGCAGATGACAAGAAATAACTAGGATCAGAGCAGAACTGAAGGAGATAGAGATACAAAATAACCTTCAAAAAAATCAGTGAATCCAGGAGCTGGTTGATCTTTGAAAAGATCAACAAAATAGATTGTCTGCTAGTCTGATTAATAAAGAAGAAAAGAGAGAAGAATTAATGGATGCAATAAAAAATAATAAAGGGGATATCACCACTGATCCCACAGAAATACAAACTACCATCAGAGAATACTATTAACACCTCTACACAAATAAACTAAAAAATATAGAAGAAATGGATACATTCCTGGACAGATATTCCTTCCCAATTCTAAACCAGGAAGAAGTTGAATACCTGAATAGACCAATAACAATTTCTGAAATTGAGGTAGTAATTAACAGCATACCAATAAAAAAAGGTCCAGGAACAGATGGATTCACAGCCGAATTCTACAGAGGTACAAAGAGGAGCAGTTAGCGTTCCTTCTGAAACTATTCCAAACAATAAAAAAAGAGGGAATCCTCCCTAACTCATTTTATGAGGACAGCATCATCCTGATTCAAAAACCTGGCAGAGACAAGACTAAAAAAGGAAATTTTAGGCCAGTATCCTTGATGAACATTGATTCAAAAATCCCCAAATGCTGGCAAACCAAATCCAGCAGCACATTAAAAAGGTTATCCACATGATCAAGTCAGCTTTATCCCTGGGATGCAAGGCTGGCTCAACATACACAACTCAATAAATGTAATTCATCACGTAAACAGAACCAAAGACAAAATCCACATGATTAACTTAATAGATGCAGAAAAGGCCTTCAATAAAATTCAACAGCCCTTCATGCTAAAAACTCACAATCAACTTTGTATTGATGGAACGTATCTAAAAACAATGAGAGCTATTTATGAAAAACCAACAGCCAATACACTGAATGGGCAAAAACTGAAAGCATTCCCTTTGAAAAACAGCACAAGATAAGGATGCCCTCTCTCACCCCTCCTATTCAACATAGTGTTGGAAGTTCTGTCCAGGGCAATCAGGCAAGAGAAGAATTTATAAAGAGTATCCAAATAGGAAGAAAGGAAGTAAAATTGTTGCTGTTTGCAGATGACATGATTGTATATTTAGAAAATCCTATCATCTCAGGCCAAAATCTTCTTAAGCTGATAAGAAACTTCAGAAAAGTCTCAGGATACAAAATCAATGTGCAAAAATCACAAGCATTTCTATATACCAATAATAGGCAAAAAGAGAGCCAAATCATTAGTGAACTCCCATTCACAATTGCTACAAAGAGAATAAAATACCTGGGAATACAACTTACAAGGGATGTGAAGGACCTCTTCAAGAAGAACTACAAACCACTGCTCAAGGAAATATGAGAGGACCCAAACAAATGGAAAAACATTCCATGCTCATGGATAGGAAGAATCAATATTGTGAAAATGGCTATACTGCCTAAAGTAATTTATAGATTCAGTGCTATCTCCATCAAGCTGTCATTGACTTTCTTCACAGAATTAGAGAAAACTACTATTTTTTTGAGGGAGGAAATTCCTTAATGTATTATCCCCTTAAACATTTATCATGATGGTTTTCAATGGCATAGTGTCCTTAGTCTTCCTTAGTTTTCCTAAGGAGTACTGTGACACACTCTCTCTCTCTTGTTGTTTTTTTTAAATTTATTGCACTTTAGGTTCTGGGGTACATGTGCAGAACATGCAGGATTGTTGCATAGGTACCTATATGGCAAAGTGGTTTGCTGCCTCCTTCCCTGTCACCTATATCTGGCAATTCTCCCCATGTTATCCCTCCCCAACTCCTAACCTCCCACTGTTCCATCCCTTGTACCTCCCAACAGACCCCGGTGTGTGATGCTCCGCTCCCTGTGTCCATGTGTTCTCATTGTTCAACACCCACCTGTGAGTGAGAACATGTGGTATTTGATTTTCTGTTCTTGTGTCAGTTTACTGAGAATGAAGGTTTCCAGATTCATCCATGTCCCCACAAAGGACATGAACTCATTGTTTTTTAAGGCTGCGTAGTATTCCATGCTGTATATGTGCCACATTTTCCTTGTCCAGTTGATCATTGATGGGCATTTGGGTTGAATCCAGGTCTTTGCTATTGTAAACAGTGCCACGGTGAACATATGTGTGCATGTGTCTTTATAATAGAATGATTTATAATCCTTTGGATATATACCCAGTAATGGGATTGCTGGGTCAAATGGAATTTCTATTTCTAGTCCTTGAGGAATCGCCACACTGTCTTCCACAATGGTTAAACTAATTTACCTTCCCACTAACAGTGTAAAAGTGTTCCTATTTCTCCACATCCTCTCCAGCATCTGTTGTCTCCAGATGTTTTAATGATCGCCATTCTAACTGGCGTAAGATGGTATCTCAATGTGGCTTTGATTTGAATTTCTCTAATGACCAGTGATGATACACATTTTTTCATATGTTTGTTGGCCTCATATATGTCTTCTTTTGAAAAGTGTCTGTTAATATCCTTTGCCCATTTTTGAATGGATTTTTTTTTTTTGTAAATCTGCTTTAGTTCTTTGTAGATTCTGGATATTAGCCCTTTGTCAGATGGGTAGGTTGCAAAAAATTTTTCCCATTCTGTTGGTTGCTGGTTCATGCTAATTATTGTTTCTCTTGCTGTACAGAAGCTCTGGAGTTTAATTAGATCCCATTTGTCTATTTTGGCTTTTGTTGCCAATGCTTTTGGTGTTTTAGTCATGAAGTCCTTACCTATGCCTATGTCCTAAATGGTTTTGCCTAGGTTTTCTTCTAGGGTTTTTATGATGTTAGGTCTTATGTTTAAGTCTTTAATCCATCTGGAGTTAATTTTAGTGTAAGGTGTCAGAAAGGGGTCCAGTTTCTGTTTTCTGCACATGGCTAGTGGTTTTCTCAACACCGTTTATTAAACAGGGAATCCTTTCCCCATTGCTTGTTTTTGTCAGGTTTGTCAAAGACCAGGTGGTTGTAGATGTGTGATGTTGCCTCCGAGGCCTCTGTTCGGTTCCATTGGTCTATATCTCTGTTTTGGGACCAGTACCATTATGTTTTGATTACTAGCCTTACTGTAATATAGTTTGAAGTTAGGTAGTGTGAAGCCTCCAGCTTTATTTCGTTTTGCTTAGGATTGTCTTGGCTATGCAGACTCTCCTTTGGTTCCATATGAAGTTTAAGGTGATTTTTTTTCCTGTTCTGTGAAGAGGGTCATAAGTAGCTTGATGGGGATAGTGTTGAATCTATAAATTACTTTGGGCAGTATGGCCATTTTCACAATATTGATTCTTCCTAACTATGAGCATGAAATGTTTTTCCATTTGTTTGGGTCCTCTCATATTTCCTTGAGCAGTGGTTTGTAGTTTTCCTTGAAGAGGTTTTTTACATCCTTTGTTAGTTATATTCCTAGGTATTTTATTCTCTTTGTAGCAATTGTGAATGGCAGTTCGCTCTTGATTTGGCTCTCTTTAAGTCTGTTTTTGGTGTATAGGAATGCTTGCGATTTCTGCGCATTGATTTTGTATCCTGAGATTTTGCTGAAGTTGCTTATCAGTTTGAGGAGATTTTGGGCTGAGATGATGGGGTCTTCTAAATATACGATCATGTCATCTGCAAATAGAGACAATTTGACTTCCTCCTTTCCTAACTGAATACACTTTATTTCTTTTTCTTGCCTGATTGATCTGGCTACAACTTCCAATACTATATTGAATAGGAGTGGTGAGAAAGGGCTAGTGCCAGATTTCAAAGGAAATGCTTCCAGTTTTTGCCCATTCAGTGTGATTTTAGCTGTGGGTTTGTTGTAAATAGCTTTTATTATTTTTAGATTTGTTTCGTCAGTTCCTAGTGTATTGAGAGTTTTTAGCATAAAGAGCTGTTGAATTTTGTTGAAAGCCTTCTCTGCATCTATTGAGATGATTATGTGGTTTTTATCTTTGGTTCTGTTTATGTGGCGGATTATGTTTATAGATAGACTTGCATATGTTGAACCAACCTTGCATCCCCAGGATGAAGCCTACCTGATAGTGATGGAAATGCTTTTTGATGTGCTGTTGCAATTGGTTTGCCAGTACTTATTGATGACTTTTGCATCAATGTTCATCATGGATATTGGCCTTACGTTTTCTTTTTTTGTTGAGTCTCTGCCGGGTTTTGGTATCAGGATGATGTTGGTCTCATAAAATGATTTGGGAGGATTTCCCTCTTTTTGTATCGTTTGGAATAGTTTCAGAAGGAGTGCTACCTGCTCCTCTTTGTATGTCTGGTAGAATTCAGCTGTGAACCCCTCTGGACCTGGGATTTTTTTTTGGTTGGTAGGCTACGAATTGCTGCCTCAACTTCAGCCCTTGTTATTGCCCTATTCAGGATTTCGATTTCTTCCTGGTTTAGGCTTGGAAGGGTGCAAGTGTCCAGGAATTTATCCATTTCTTCCATGTTTACTGGTTTATGTGCATAGAGTTGTTTGTAATAATCTCTGATGGTAGTTTGTATTTCTGTGGAATCTGTGTGATATCTACTTTCTCATTTTTATTGCATCTATTTGATTCTTCTCTCTTTTCTTTTTTTTTTATTTATCTGGCCTGTGGTCTATTTTGTTAATCTTTTCAAAAAACCAGCTCCTGGGTTTATTGCTTTTTTGAAGGGCTTTTTGTGTTTCTGTCTCCTTCAGTTCTGTTCTGATCTTTGTTATT